ACAAATTTACATTGGATCCCTCTTTCTTGCACCTAGACGAATCTATGAGCATACCAAATAACTGTAAATAAATAATGTGGCCTTTACAAAGCTCAAAGGCTTCTATAAAGTTCCTTTTATTCATTTGTGATTGATTTATTTGTTTACATTTATTTAGCCGATTACAAACTCGCTTTGGTTTACTTGCAAAGCAACTTAAGTAGCTTGTTTAACAGCCTTACATTTATGATTACAATAACACCACCTTATCAATTAATATTGATATTAATCAAAAAATGTTGTACGAAAAAATTGTTGTTACACGTCATTCAATTCTCCGCTCCACAAAGAAAAATTCATTTATTATTATTAAAACATCACGTCGAATTTTTTATCTTATATTTTTATATAATGTCATATTTGTCTTAACTCGAACTATTGATATGTGTATAAGAATTGACATTACAAATTATTTGAATGATTTGTTATTTTGTTTGATTTAGAATAAATATTCGAATAGAAACTCCATTGCAAACATCATCATCACATGAAATGACTTTCAATTTACAACCTTTTCTCCTTAATGAATTAATAAGCAGCCGATTTGTTATTAAAATGATTGTTAAGCAATGATAACACTAAGACTATGTAGAAATGAAGCTTTAAAAAACCAATTTTGAAAAAAGCTTGAATTTTAATTTGATCTTCGCCTTACCATCCAAGTGGTAGTGGAAAAGTTTTAGTGGTTGAACCTTTCTTTAATTGTATCTTTGGGGTTCCCTTCTGATTATGTACAATTTCAAGCTTCTAGAATTACTTCCAAAAAATAAAACCTTGCGAGCAGACATTCATTTCGTAAAGGATAATGATTTGACATATTGAACTTGGGTGTCAGATTACCTAGATATTTTTTCTTATCCCAATGTGGGTTACCGTTGTACTAAAACAACTACAGTTGAATTGAATTATATCAACAGAATCAGTCATAGGGTCAGCTGCTTCTGGTAATAATCTAAATGTCGTCAATAGATCCTTCACAAACAATCCAGGCGAGAAATTCTAGACCCACCCATCAAAGTATGAAAGTGAACTCCTAAATTTTTATCGCATCAACTTAGTCTAGAGGTAAAGTTTTTCATTTTAAGAATTATCTTTAATAATCGTACGTTTGCCCAAAGGCAACAAGCATTGATTATTAGGATGAAAATTATTGTTCTACAGTACATAAAGATTATTATTATTGTTGCTATTTTAAGCCCGCCTACTCTCTCCTTCATTACGTAATAAACTTCAACTTTCCCACAAGTATATCGTGTAACCTTTAATAAAATACTCTTGTAAATTAATAATTAGAATTAATTAGAATCAGCAATAATGGTTTGTTCAAAGTGTATGTATATTAAAATTATTGTTAAATAAATTTTGCAAAAAAAAACATAAAAGCATAAAAAAAAATAACAATTGTTTATTTTTTTGATTAGGCGAAAAGAAATTAGCAAAAGTTATTTGTCCTGATAAATGGAAAGAAGGCTCAAGAAATGTTAATGGTATGCTGATCTAATAATAATAATGACAAGAAATTAACAAAAATACTTTTGAATCAACTTATATATAATATTATAATAATAATAACTGTAGTTGGAACGGATAGAAAATTAAATGAAAATAAATTGTTATCTAAACCGGGAAAAAATAGGTTAGTTACCAATTAGTTATTAATAGGTTGCTGGTTAGTTGTCAATTAGTTATATCTCTTTAATATGTTAATAACAACTTTAGTTGTACCCAACAGGTTTAAACCATATGAAAATAAATGTAAAGTTTGTAAGTCAAGAGTGCATCAAGAACATGCGCATTATTGTCAAGGTAAATAAAATAAATCAACAAGATCAATAATATAAAGTCGTTAGGCAATAATAATAATCAATATTCTTTAAAAAATTTTTTGCTATAGGATGTGCTTATAAACAAGGAATATGTGCAATGTGTGGTAAACAAATCCTTGATACGTCGATGTATAAACAAAGTGCTAAATAAATAAATGATTAATAGTTAAATCAATATACTCAGTTATTAGTTGATTGAAAGATTTTATTGGCTAGGTATTATGTAATATTATTTTTATTTATTAAAACAATAAACAAATTTATTTAATAATTTAATAAGCAGTTTAATAAACATTTAATAAGTAGATATGTAAATCAGCAAATTTTCTTTTTCCATGATAGTCACATCAACTCTTCCATCTTTGTGATAAATCCTTCTTGAACCATTTTAAGATACCTTCTTAAACTATCTTTATCCAGATTTGACGATCTTTTTATTTGCAGCAGATGTTCAGTTAACTTGAATAACAAAGGAATCATAATTTTAATTCAAAGTGTAGAAAAGAAAAGAAAAAGAAAAAGAAAAGGAAAAGAAAAGAGTGTGTTAAACCTGCAATAATAATTGTCTTCTCTTGGTAATTTTATTTGAGGATGATTTTTCTTTATTGGCATCAATCAATTCTTTTAACTATATAACAATAAACATAATAACCAACTAATTAAAAAATGCAATAAGATTTTTTTCCTTTTCAATAAAAGAATTAAATTTACTTTATGAGAAACTTCAGTTGCCTTTTGTATAACATCATCTGGTAAACCAATTAATTGTCCAAACCTTAATCCTGTATTTTTTTTATTTAGTGGGAGAGAAAACAAGTTAATCAATTAATTGAATTAAAAATTAAAAATTAAAAATGGAAATGGAAATGAGAACCATAATGTTCATCATCATTCCTTCCGTCTTTGACTTTATATAAATATCTTATTCCGAATTTTTCATTGCCAATCTATCAATTTTACATATTTACAATATGTTGATTAATTATATAATAATGATATGACATCATGTTATATTATAATAATTATTTATAACGATTACCTCAATTTCTAAATGTAAATTCACTACGTTTGGATAAATGGTTAGACTTCTTGTAAGTTCATGAAAATGTGTTGCGAAGAATATGAATGCCTAAATATATATATTATTTTATTATTATTACCAAATTCATTTATAAATATATTTATTAACTAATATTAAATAAGATATTAAATAAGATATTAAATAAGATAAGTAAGATTTAGAATATACCTTCGTCTTTACTAATTCTTCACATACGGCATATGTTATGCCTAATCCATCGTGTGTAGATGTTCCTATTTAAAATATTAATTTATTAGTTTACTAAAAGTTTGCCAAACCTATAAAAACCACTGTCAATACTTGAGAAAATATTAATAGTAGGAACCTCTTCCAAGTTCGTCAATTATCACTAAACTTTCATCTGTCACATGTTGTAAAATATATGCAGTTTCTCGCATTTCTATGATAAATGTACTTGTATTACTTTCCATATTATTGTCATTGCAAATCCTTGTAAATATCTGTTTTAAAATAAGATATATAACAATATTAATTGTAGTTGTAGTTGTAGTAATAGGATAAATTTTAATCAATTAATTACTTGGTCAACAATTCTAAATGATGCATATTCTGCTGGGACTCTGCCAAAAAAAGAAAATCAATCATCAAAATTATTATCGTAAAACTCAATAAACAAAGAAAAAAACCATAAAAATGCTTACAAGGATCCAATTTGTGACATGATACTCATCAAAGCAATTTGCTTCAAATAAGTGCTTTTTCCACTCATGTTTGGCCCTGTAATTATTTGAAAATTAGTTGCGTTACTTGCAAAGGTATCATTTGGAATAAATGGATCCACAACAAATAAACATTCTCGCATAGGATGTCGACCAGATTTTATTGCCAATGTATCTGTGAATTCTGGACGAACTATTCAAATATATTCCATAGGCGATGAATATTGGCAGCATGATTTAAAAATTATATATTAATCTTGATGACAAATGTTGCATATACACATACCATAATTTGAGATGGTGCATTGATGAGCAAAAGATGTCAACATATCCAACATGGCTACAGATTCAGATGCTTTATAAAGTACACCGATTGTGCCACGAATTTCAAATATTAAATCTTCAATTATTCTAATAATAATAACAATATATTATTAAACTTATAGAAAACTAAATTCAAATACAAATAATATATATATATATATATACGAAACTTGTCAGACATTAGATAAACTTCAGTTAAAGATTCATTAATTTTTGTATTTTTTTTAATCTAAAAATAGAATAATTTATATATTAGATCCAAAAGATAAAAATTTAATTGCTATATTACGACGATGATACCAACTTACCAATTCCAAAGTTGTAAAAGTTAACAAATTTTTTTTCTTGCTAACGTTAATGAACACAAGAGGAAGTTGACGATCACCTAAATGCTCTATATTTGTTGATAAATAATATCCAGTTGATACACTGAATTGAGGTTTCAAATGGATCTCATTTTTTTCTAATTGTTATAATAATATTCTTTATATCAAAAATTTATTATTATATACAAGTATATAAATATATGTAATTTGATAAATTATTGTCTACCGCTATATTTTTCAATCATTTCAAATGTATCATCAACCATTTCTTTATATGTTTGTCGTGCTATAAATATCATTTTTTTAAAAAACAATTAGAGACATTGATCAATCAATCAATCATAATTATGATTTTTATATATGTGTAGTTCAACTTACCAACATCTAACAATCCATTAAATCCTGACTATATTATATATACATAGATATATTTATAATATTTTTTATGGTTGAAAAGAAAAGGTGGTAATGAAAAGAAAATAAATTTACTAATCACCTTAACAGCGTAACAACGTTGATTTCGAATACCAAGTGCACTTTTTTGATAAGTAACATCTTCATTTATAACTTGATGAATCTTTCCTTCTAGTATTTGTAATTCTGGATCGTTTAAGAGCTATAATTTTAATTGTATGAGTGAGTATAAATGATTTTTAAATAAAAATTAAAAAAAAAGGATTATCTCATACCTGATAAATTGTGTCAAGCAAAGAATTTTTAATACCAATCATTGCATTTTTTAGCGATTTAATCAATGTCAATGTATGTTTCAGTAGAATCACATTATTGATATTTTGTTCTGCACTTTTTACATTAGGTTTTCTTGGAATTTGAATCAACTAAACAAAAAAATTAAAAAAATTAGAAAACAAGATTTAAAAATAAGAATTTCTAAATAAAAGTTATTACCGCAGTAATCAAATGGTCAATATCTTGAAAAGGTTTGAGTGCTATATATAACCATCAGAATAATACAAAATATTTATTATTGGTTATTTTGTTATTAACACTAGATATAATAAATAAACCACCATAAACACCTGATTGAATTGAGAAAAATGTTTCCTATTGATTTTGGTGGAGGAAGAAAAGTCAGCTACTATTATAACACCTTAAAAATCACCTTTTTATCAATAGCAAATTTATACCTCACTACTTATAAGTTCTATAAAAATTTAGAAAAATAACTGTTAGAATAATATATTCTATGTGATATTTAATCATTTAATTTTTTACCTTCCACAGAATCTAAGCGAGTATTAATTGTGACAATATCTAAATAATTAAATGATCAAATAAATATATATTTTAATAAAAAGAAAAAGAAAAAAAAATAACAATTGACTTAATTACAGACCAGTCAAAGGTTGTAAAATGTTGGTACGAAGAAGACGACCTAATAATTAAAATTATAACCTTGATGAGAAGATTGAGAATATTAACAAACGATTAATGTGATCAATCAATCAATATATGACAAGTTACCACCCATAGGTGTCACTGTACGATTCAAGACACCTGTATATAATATAATGAATTAAATTATTCATCTATGTATGTTGCAATAATAATTATTGTTATTATTAATATTAATTAAGTACCATATAAAGAATGATTACTATTTTGATTATTCATATTATTAATTAATTCAAGATTACGCGCAGTAACAAAATCTAAATTAAATGGGATCATTAATATTGATTGATATTGACAATAGCACATGTTATTATAATTTAGCTACTCGCCAATCATCATAGTTCCTATATATGACAAGAAAAAAAGAGTATTTATTTAATAAATTAATAGATCAAAATTTTGTCATGAAACATATATTTATTACCTTCACATCCTTGATATTTGAATTTTATTGAATGATTAGTGAAAAATATGTTAAGAGTATTTCCAATATATCTATAGAAGTATTAGATATTAAGGTTTATGATTATTTTTTATTATATCAATTACATCAGATCATTGTGATATATTTGCCTAAGCAAGGCAGCAGTTGAGGCTAAACAATAAAATCTAAAAAACAGAAAAAATTAAATTAATATAAATTTTGAATTTTTTAATTTGGATCTATAATAATTGAATTTATTACTTTGAAGTTAATCCAAGAATCAATGATACAGAATCTTCTTCCAATCCATACTATAAATGTAAACACTAAATAAATGATCTGCGATTTGTTTTTCAAATTTTCAAAATCCATCTATATACCTGCCTACCTGTTTGATAAAATTTAATCCTATACATAGAAAAAATAAAAATAAAAATAAAAATATTAAAAATCTTCTCAATAAATACGAATAAAAAAATCATTACAACATACCAACAGCATCGTTAAAATATTTTCTTGCAATTGGAACAATGATAGCCGATGGTATATTATCTTCAAGTATTTTACATAGTTTTGATTTGGAGGGTTCAACAGCTGTAACTGATAACAATATCTTTAAATAAATAAAATAAATACAAGAGGCGTGAAAATTAATCATTTTATTACATTGGATTTTTACAAAAAAATAATAATAATAATACCTCTCCAGGATTATAAATATTTAATTTGTGTAATGTTTTAACATAAGTTTGTGAATCTGCAATCTTTTAAAAAAATTTACCAAACATCAATTTTCATTTCATTTATGGGACCGACTGTCCACCGATTTTTACATAATCTAAAACGATGTTTCTATTTATGTCAAAAGTTTCAGTAGATTTTGGCATAATATAGAAATATCGCCAATAATGTAAAAATCGTTGGCCCATACACTATATCAATAAAGAATAGAAAAACCTGTGATAAAATGCATTCACTGGTTTTTAAATCTATAAAACACATTCCAACTTCACTGGCAACTCCTATCAGATCAGAATTAATTAGACTAATTAATAGTGTTATTATTAAAATATTATTATTTATTACCTCTTCCTTCAATTATTGCAACAAAAAATGAACGGGATTCTCCACGAACATTACCACGCACCGAAGCTGAAGTCTGTGGCCGTTTAGAAGTAGTATTAGTTGATTTTTCAGATGAACCAGAAATACTTTTTGTTGAACGACAACTAGAATTTTTTTTTGTCGTTGTATTGGTAGTAAACGGTAGTGATAACTTTGATGTTTTTGAAGAATTTTGACGATTGTTTGTTTGTTTAACAGAAGAAGCAGAGTTAATAATTTTAGAAGAAGAAGAAGAGGAGGAAGAGGAGGAAGAAGAAACAGAATTAGAGTTAGAATTAGAATTAGTGGAGAGTGAACCAGAATAGGAATAAGGAGATGGTGAATTAGAATTAGAACTAGAACTAGAATGTTGAATTGATGATTTAGACATGGATATGAGACGGGTTTTTTATAAATATTAAAGTTTTTTTAAATTTCATATCAAACATTAAACTACTATATATACCCTGGGCAAAAGTTTCAGACACCCTGAAACAATTGATTGTATAGCATAATAATTTATAAAATTGACAATATCAAAACACGATTGAAATTTAAGTAATAAAAATCTATAGATGGGATCAATAAAGGTCTTGATTCTCCTTAACAAATTCTACTGCAAACAAAACAAGATTTGATACAAGAGTTGTCCGCATTTACCAAAGAAAATGATATCGATGCTATTACCGTTTAATGCGTAAATTTCAGGATTCTCTTTAGAAGTGATCCCAACATGGTATAGTAATAGTAGATTTGTTTATATAGAAATCCGAGCGAAATTTTATGCCGGTATTGTCACCAAATCTTTCTTGGATCTGAATAATGATATGTTTGCATTTCATGACATTATAAAAGGAAGGACATGTGAAGTTACAGTTATACTAAAGCATACAGTATAAAAGGATATTTAATATAAAAATTTTTTGTGCGGATGGAAAATCTGTACAAAAAAAAAAATAATGGTAAAAATAAAAAGGAAAAATATCCGGCAACTCTTTTTTTTTCCAGAAGTTAAAATTTTTTAAAGATTTTTAAAGTACTCATAGATTATTGTTTAAACAAAAGTCAAAAGTCAAACCAGTTTCGACTTTCGCACACCAGTAGTAAATGAGTGTGTAGGAACTGAAATTGTATTCAGCAAAAGAAAAATTTGGCTCCTTGGGATGAGATTGGGATACACAAGAAAGAATGTGTTTTTATATTTTATCAGCCTTTAAAGCAATTTTACTTGCGTCATTTTTGACTTAATGGTAGCGAATTTGACGTAATTGTTTTACAACTTTGATAAACAACTTACACTGCCAACTCACCGCATATACACCTTTTGTATGCTCTTTCTTGAATGCAGGACATACCACCAGGCTAGTAAATTAATTACGACTCAAGGAAAATGCTCTAATACCATTTTGATAAGGCGAGAGCGGTCTTCTATATCTGCCAGCATACTTACCCGGAAATCTTCTGGGCCAAAAGAATCGAGATTTGATATTCCACATCGTCACCATCTAATCTCAGTTCTTTCATGAATTCACGGTCGTTGGCATCCTCTTCGACTTGAGATTCGATTATATGAGATTGCAACTCGATTCAGATCCTACTTTCGGAGAAAGATCAATATTATGGTTGGTAGGCAAAATTCGTATTCAGTCACGTGCGCATTCCAGTCCTTGTCTCAGAAAAATGATCTATGATATTTTAAATTGGAATATCAGTTAGAACAAGTAACTTATTAGCTCTGAACGGAAATTTACTTGTGAAATACTTGAAGTGGTTTAATCTCGATTTTATTATAATCAAGATTTTAGATAATAAGTAAATGGAGGCGAGCAATTATCTATTTCTAAAATTACGTAGCCCCACGTTAATATTAACTACCCACCCACGTCTTTTTTATTTTTTGAAGATCACCCCTGTCTTTTTCTATTATTCACGACTAAACTTGAAAAGGACAGAGATGTGGCTTGAACCCCTTTTTCAACATAGTATATAATAGTAATGGCTGCAAGTAGTAGTACAACAACAGCAACTGTTACTTTTAACTCAACAATTTGTTTCTGTTTATATCAAAGGTAAGAACTTAGTATGTTGTACAGATAGATGTGTATTTCTCCGAGTCACCGTTGCAAATTGTAGAGCCTGTGAAATAAATTTCGATCTTCTAATTTTAAAGGAAATGCTCTCAACAACTTTACCACTAGAACTTTTCATTACAATATTCAAATATTTTGAAAATGATTACAAAACGCTGTATTCATGTATTCGAGTTAATAAACAATGGCAAAATATCAATATTCCAAAAATATGGAGAAATCCCTTTTGCACAGAGGGCAGCATCAAAACACTAATCAAATGTTTATTAGAAGAAGACGAAAATTTTTTGGTGAAACACAACATTTTGGAAGCTTTTGAATTATCAGACAGACCACCGCTATACAATTATGCAAGGTTTGCTACTCGATTGGATTTTAGGTATAGTCCTATTCATGGCATTATGAGTTTGAGCATAAAATCAAAAAATTCTGATGAACTTAATTGTTTAAAAGTACGACTGGTAAAATTTATTCTAGATCATTCAACCAACATCAAGATGTTTAGTGCTATTTCTAGTTTTGATTGTAAATGGATGGTTGATCATCCTAGCTTTGGCATTTGTTTTCGGAGTCTTGTTGAATTACAACTTAATTTTTATGATTGTGAGTTCTTTGACAAATTAGCAAATTATTGTAAAAATATTCAAATTTTAAAAATAGATGGTTGTATTAAAAATCCTTTGTATAATGAAGAAGATGTCTATCGTAGTCTAGCTCAATTAATTCATGCTCAAAATCAAATTAAACAATTGTCTGTCAATGTACCCTATAAAATGACTATATCTTTATCCGATGACCTGAAACAAGCAATTTCAACTCATTCACAATCAATATTTCATTATAAAAGTATTGGTGAGGCCAAAATAGATTCCTTAATAGCAACATTTCAAAACTTAAAGAAGTTGTCATTACACGATTATAACAGAAGATCAGATAATAATTATAAAATATCAAGTATAAAATCTGTTGTACTTCCAAATATTGAAGTCCTTTATATAACAATCTTTTATCAGCCATTTCTATTGGAGTTATCTGATTTTTTGAAAATCAATGGAGAAAATCTCAAGGTTTTAGAAATTGGTGGTGAAGCAAATGATAAAATGAACATGGAAAAAATGTTTCAATCAATTGCAAAAAATTGTGTAAATTTAGAACATTTAACGATAACCTATAATAAGAAAGCATTAAACTGGGAACTAATCTGTATATTTAATAATTGTAAAAAATTAGAAAGCATTCAATTTCATCCAGATAATATGGTTATAGATGGTGATAGAATATTCGAAGCATTAAGTCTGTCATTACCAAATAATTTAAACACTATTATTTTTGATGGTTTATATAGTATTTCTGATGATAATAAAGATAATTATTATTTGAATAATTTGATGAAAAATTGGAAAGCGCCTAAACCTCTTAAAATAAGAAATTATCGATATGATGCATTTTCTATAGAAAGAAAAGAAACAATTGAATTATTACAAAAATATCAAGACCTAGAATTCATTATATATGAATCAGAGAATTTTTTCATTTTTGATAATAGTATTAATAATGTTAATAATGTTAACATCGTTAGATAAAAATAATATATTTATATATATATATATATATATATATGATTTTAATAATAAAAAAATTATTAATTGTTTATTTAATATTTTTTTTTTCTTTTTTAAAAAGTAAACATTTTAAAAATATAATATATATCAAAATAGAAAATTCTCATTATAATAATAATAATAATTTCGATTATTAAGCAGCAGAACCAGGATTACGAGCTAAATCATTGAATAAATAAATAAATAAAAAGTGAAATTCAAATCAAAATAAATTATTTAAAAATCATTTGTTTATTTATACATACTGTAGATAAGTTGAGACCCATGAGTGGAAATCTTACGAATTAGTCCTTTTTCTGCCAATTCACGAATTGCAACTCTTGCAAGAGATCCATTGACATGAAGACGGTCAACTAATACAGAAGGTGTAATTAATTTATATGCCGGTACTTCTTTGAATAATTTATCGTACGTAGCTTTATCCAACACTACTGCGTTGTTTGCTTTATCTTTAACTTTTCCTTTAGACCATTTCTATTCATTTAAATTTTGGTGAATATAATTTAAAAGGTAAAAATTATTTTATAATCTTGGTAAATTTATCTACGCTACCTTTTTTTTATTTTTACCTCCGGATGAGGAGCTTTTAGTTGCTGCTTCTTTTTTAGCCTATATGTATATATTGCAATAATTAATAATGTTTGAAAGAAATTTATAGATTATCTATCATTGCTCATTATCCTAATTACAGTTTAAATAATTAAAAATTTTTATTACCATCTTAATATATCAATAAAACAAAAAAAAAAATTAGATTATTATTATCAGAAAATGAATATTTGGGGTCTGATAATGTTGCACGAAAACATTGGTCCATTCATTCATTCATGATTAAAGAAATTGGAGACTTTCCCCAAAAAGGTGATGTTGTTCCCTTTATAGGTAAGATATTAGAGGTTGATTTATAAACGAGGCTGGAAACATGGTGTAATTGCCCAATCAATATGCGCCACGCTTGATTAATTTTTTTTCATAAAAATTTACCGTAAATTCAACTGTAATTTTCCTTTCGATCGTATTTATAATACAAAGGATGCAATACGTATATGACGAACAGGGCGCCACTTTCAATTACTTTCTTTTGACTTTTCTATTGATATTTTTATTACCTAGTACTTTTTCTTTAATTTTCAGATCAAATAAAGGTAAAACAAAATAATGTTAAAAGGGAGATTATTGTCTTTATTTTCTTCTTTAACTCACTTCCACCACTTCCACCACTTCCTCCTTTTCTTGCTGTTGTTAGATGATAATCTTCGTAAAGCACCTTGTACGTGCGATGCATGTACTAATAAAACGGTTTGGTTGAAAACAAAACAAAAGGGCAGCTTGCTTTCACGTATAGATAAAAAGTAATAGAGAAGAGTTTTTGATAAAATTATTAATTTAATTACGTGGAAATGATACGAATTGATGAATTGATTAATCGATCTTTGTAGATTTGTAGGAGTCGTGATTGGATGGATAGTTTTTGCATACTTGATGTATAGAGTTGCAACGGTTAAAATTGAAGTGGAGGTTTGGGACCCTTACGAAGTGCTTGGACTCAGTGAAGTAAATGTTTAATTAATTATTAGGAAAAGTAAGAAATGAAGGAAGGAACGATTTTAATTTATTTGATTTGTTTTCTTTATACTTGTTTTATTTAGTCGTCATCATTAGAACTTATTAAGAAACATTATAAAGAACTGAGTAGAAAATGGCAAGTGTCTTGATTTAATATTAATTAACTATTAAATTATTTACTAATAAATGATTGATTATTGACTTTAGGCATCCTGATAAAGCTCCATCAGATAAAAAAGATGAATATGAAAAAACGTTTATAGATTTCACTAAAGCGTATAAAGTGTATGTATTCATCTTATATGCATGTATATATATATATTTGATTATATATATTTGATTTATTTCTTGTAAAAAAATAGATTGACAGATGATGACATACGTAAAAATTACGAAGAATATGGACATCCTGATGGAAAACAAGGTAATTAATTACTGACCAACTACCTAATTAATCAAATAAAAAATTAATTATTGACAATTCTAAAAAATATTTATATATTTATATGTGTTCTTTCGCCTTTCTTTGAATTAATTAATAGCATATTCATTGGGAATCGCACTTCCAACTTGGTTGGTTGAATCAAAAAATAGTCCTTTTGTACTTGGAATTTATGGAATTGTGTTTGGTTTATTACTTCCTTATTATGTGGTATGCGATCATGCCGTTTAATTACTATTGTAATAATTATTTGATTACAATTGATAATAATACTCACTAACAAGCTATTTAATTATTAGGGAAGTTGGTGGTACAGCTCAAATAGTTACACCAAAGATAGAATCAGAACACATACCATGGATCTTTATTTTAAAGAATTAAGGCAAAACACCAGTTTCAAACAAATATTAGAACTTCTTTCTGCATCAGTTGAATTTATGGAATTAGTTGAACAAAGGTCTTCCGACAACGCGCCGATTACAACGGTTATTTCATCTGTTAAAGAAGATCTAGAAAAAAGATTTAGTGATAAATACTTGACAAGTAAAAAGGTAGGCTTATTTATCGTGTGTTTTTATATACATTATATATATATATATATATCATATAAATGAATATTAATTGTCATTTTTATTATTTTATTTGTTTTTATTTTTGTTCCTGCTAGTATATTGCACCGTATTCCCAAAAAGCAAATGCATTGACATATTCACATTTGCTAAGAATAGACATTAAAGACAAAAATTTGTTAAAAGGTAAATGATTTACTATTCATTTATTATAATTAATGATATTAATACTCACAAATGATGCACAAATCATATATATCACATATAGATAGATATTTTATTATTGAAAGATCTGTTCACCTTGTAAATGGTTTATTGGAAATAGCATTGGCACATCGTTGGTTACAAACAACTATTAGGTGCATGGAACTTTCTCAACTGTTGGTGCAAGCGATGTGGATAAATGATAATCCACTGATCCAGCTACCTTATATAACCATTGACGTATTAAAAGCGATGAAGATTAAGAAAAAAGTGATTAGAAATATTGGGCAATTTAGAAATATGAATGATGAAGAACGAAGGTAAATTAATTATTAATAATGACTTTTTTTTTGTTGTGAATATTATCTTATTTATTTATTTATTTATTTATTATTATTTATTTTGCAGGAATTTATTAAAGTCATTATCAGATTTAGAATATGGAACAGTTTTACATGTTGCTAATTCTTATCCTATTCTAGAAATTGTACAAGCAGTTTTCAAAGGTATTATGATGATGTTTAAAAATTTAACGATTAATCAATAATTAATTCAAAATTTATTAATATATATAATTCTTATAGTTACTGGAGATGATATAATTACGCCTGGTTCAATTGTAACTTGTATTTTAAAAGTTAAACTTGCTGGTACTAAAGCAGTCAGTAAAAATATCAATAATGTTAAAAATAATAAGTCAAATAAAACACAAGTTAAGGATGATGATAATGAAGACGACGAGGATGGTGATGATGAAAATGAAGGAGATGATAAAAATAGTAATAATAATAATTCTAGCAATGAAAAAATAAAACATGAAAATGAAAAAAATGAAAATGATGATGACAATGAGGAGGAGGAGGAAGGAGGAGGAGACTATCTAAATAGCGAGGATGAATTATTATTTGGCAGTTCAAAAAGAAAAGAAATCAAAGAGAAGAGCGACTTTGTACATGCACCTTATTTGGCACGTGATAAAAAACCATACTGGTGGATTTTCATGGCTGATGAAAAACATGATAGAATAATCATTGAGCCAGTCAAAGTTACTGATATTGTAACCAAGCGAACATTTAAATTTCAATTCCAAGCTCCTCGTGAACCTGGTTTATATTCTTTCACCTTTTATTTTAAGAGTGATTCATATTTTGGTGCTGATATTAAAAAAGATATGAAGGTATGATAAAAACAATGATAAATATATATGTAACAAAATATCTATTTATACATACTAATATTACATTATATATATATATATATATATAAGTTGGACGTAAAAGACTTTTCAGAACTTCCACCACAAGAAGAAGTTGATGATGATATATCAGAACCTGAAGAAGATTCTTTGGCAGGTCAAATGAAATTAATGAGAGAACAAGGATTTGCTGCTGCAATTGCTAATGCTGGTAATGATGATGATGCTAATAATAAAAAGAAAGCCAAAAAATCTGGTGGTGATAGCGACGATAGCGATGATAGCGATGGAGATGGAGACAGTAGCGATGATGATTAATATTAGCAGTTCAAGTTTTGTGATTGGGTGGCGGATAGTAGTACATTTGACTGCATCATATTGAACTGAATTGACAATTTATTAAATATAATTTATTGTTATTTACTATGCTACTATTTATGTAAATTTTTTATTTTAAAACGGAAAAATTAAATATTTTCATTTCATTTTTAAATATCATCATTTTAAATATCCATTTAATGCATCAATCATTTATCTTGTAAAAAAATATAAATGATACATAATTTACAATTTTTAGGATGCCAAAAATAGTTTTATTCAAATAATAAATAATAAATAATATTGCAAATATAAAAATTTTATTTTTTCCTATTTAAAGTGCGTTTAACTACTTTTTTTATAACTTTTGTATTAGGAAAACTTAAATCTTCAAGATTTACTGCGTATGGTGTAGGAATATCTAATCGATAAACAAATAATTAGGTGATTAAAATACTTGTATATGAATTGATATATAATAAATATAAAAATTATATATTTACCTGCACCGGTTATTCTTTCCACTGGTGCATCTAAATAATCAAAAATTTCAGTTTCCATAGCTATAGCACATATCTCGCTGCCAAACCCGTACTGGGGAAATCCGGAATCAACTGATATCAACCGATTAGTTTTCTTGACCGACTTAACTATTGTGTCAACATCAAGTGGTCTTATTGATCGCAAATTGATCACCTCAACTGATATCCCACCCTCTTCTTTTTTCTCTAATTGTTGAGCTGCCTCGAGACAAAAATTTAACGATCTAGAATATGACACAATTGTGACATCTTTGCCTTCTCTTATAATTTTTGCTTTGCCAATTGGTAAGATGAAATCATTTGATAATGCTTCTTGTGATACCGGATATGAAATACCATATTGAAGTTCATTCTCCAATACCACTACTGGATTAGGGTCTCTTATTGCTGCCTTTAAATAAACAATACCATTTGAAAAATAATAATTATTAGTAATTGATTACTGTTATCATGATTATTAGCAGTTATATTATTTATTATAACAATGCACCTTTAATAAACCTTTTGAGTCTTCGCTATCCCACGGAGATACAACTTTTAATCCTGGAATAGAACCATACCATGCTGCGAAATCTTGAGAATGTTGTGCACCCACTCCAGCTGCAAATCCATTAGGACCTCTAAAAACTATCGGACATTCTATAAGACCACCAGACATGTAATGAACTTTGGCTGCTGAATTAACTATTTGATCAATTGCCTTAATAATTAATTAAATGTTAATTAAAGATTATTGGATTTATTTATTATTCATTCATCAATAAATCATATGTCGATAACTCACTTGCATGGAAAAATTAAATGTCATGAATTCGCAAATTGGCCTAAGTCCTGATAACGCAGCACCAATAGCCAGTCCAGCAAAACCTGCTTCTGTAATCGGTGTATCAATAACTCGTTTTGGGCCGAATTTATCGAGAAGTCCTTTTGACACCTAATTGGAAAACAACGACAAACAACAATAATTGGTCGAAGAAGAAGCTATAATAATTATTTTCGGAACAATAGATGGATGAATGGATAAAGAAAACATATTGTGTGCGTGCGTGTATGTGTGTAAAATTAGAAATTGTTGGTTTTTTTTTTTTTTTTGAAATATAGATTATATATGCTTATATATGTTTGAATGATCTCTATAAATGATATTTGCCACAATTTACTTCGTCCTGTAATCAAGCAATTGTAATTTAATATTGCCATTATTACTATGCTAATGCTGTTATGACTATTGCCATATCTGTGATGCTACAACATAACTACTATATTTATCATTTTAACTGACCAACTAACCAACTAGTTAATTCTTCTTCTTACCTTATATGCGCCATTATATTGTGCGACCTCTTCTCCGATCAAGAAGACGCGTTCGTCACGAACAAATTCTTCGTCAATCGCTGAATTAAGTGCTTCTCTCACAGTTAACTACACACAAAAAACATATGGAATAATAGTAATCGTTTATTTACTCGATCAATTTCTATTGTTTCGGGGTGAAATTAATATAAATGCTAAATACTAACAGTAATATCAGTTGAGGTTGCAAGTAATCGTTTCTGAGAAAACTGTAGTAAAGATGTTGCTGCTGCATTTTGAATTGGTATTTTATTAATGCTTTGTTTCCACATGTTATTACTCTTTATAGTGTTAAATGTATAAGAAGGAGAGGGAGAGATCGTTCTCTTTATAAAGTTTTTTAATAAAGAGCCATTCATATTTTTTTTTTGTTAATAGAAAAAAATTTTTGATGATGAATGATGACAATGAATGGGACACACACAAGTATATTGACTGATATGCATTATGATAAATAACGCCACATATTAATAATTGGTGGTACCAAGTTTCTCGACGCCACAAAAAATTCTAATAATAATAGTAAAGGATTAACCTGACCCGAAAGGTAGCACATGTTATTTTATACAATTAAAGTTTATTTAAATTTTCTCTATCGAAATTGATAAAATCGAATTAAAACCGGTTGCAACATACATAAATTTAGTTCCTATTTTTCTTTATTTGCAAGTTACAGTGGTATTGCCCGATACTTAAAAGAAGCTTCAGTTTTACAGCCATGTAATTTATGGGATAAATATAGATTTCATGAAACGGATCAAGCTTTTCAATAATCTTTATCTTTATCCTTATTGTATTGATCAACAAAAATTTCATTAAAGATAACTTCTGTCCTCGCAGAGGATAATTAACATTCTAATAAAAT